AGAACCGCCTTAAATTACCCCACACACAGCACTGGCATGAATAAGAATAGGATGTAAAGTTGTTTTTTAAAAGGCATCTTTGGTTTGTTTTTAAACAACTTCAACCCACGCAATGGTCTGATTGCACCACAAACGCAGTAGTCATCCTTACCTTTCACAGAGGCCCTGAGTTTTATGAATATGAGCATGATAGTGTAGAATAATCATATCCAAGGACCAGTGGTGGCTTTCAAAAATTGTTTGAACCTCTTCTGTAGGTGTGGCCTGCTTTCCGGGTCCACTGGTGGAATCTCTTCTAACCGGTTCGGTAGATTTGACGAACCGGTTCTGCCAAATAGGTGCGAACTGGTAGGAACCCACCTCTGTACGCACCGCTGCAGCAACATTGTCACATACCTTTTTTTAAAACTTCAAAACAATGCTGCTGAGTATTAGCTTCACCAACAGATGATGGCGGGGTGACTTCAGGATGCTCTGAAGTTTCCAGATTTGGGTCTGTGGTGGTTTAGGGGCTGCAAATCACTGTTCCTCGTGTTACGTTAAAATCCATAATTGGTTTCCATAGGTTTCATCATTTTAAAAAGTGTAGTTTGGGGCAAAGATAATCTGGTTAATTGCTAATTTTATTGGGCAGCCACTATTTCCTCAATCAAAATGACGAGGTACAATTTAGGAAGGAGGAAAAATATGCCTGCGATTTCTTATTCTATTTTTTTCTCTTTCCAGCTGTGGATGTCTGGGAAGAAAAATTAAATTGTAAAAGTAACGCATAATACACAGAAGAAGAGTTCAAATATCAACACTCCTGACGATGTTTCCCTAAGTTACAATATCCTATGTCTCCGTTTAATTAAATATGAATATTGTGAGATCAGTCACAAATATTGTGGAGTAATGTAACATGCAGCTTTAATTGGATTCCTTCTATTTACATATCTGCTAGATTGCTGTTTGCATTAACTAATGCCACTGCTACCACCTCTCTGCTTCTACATATGCTACCCAATGTCTTCTGGAGTAGGCAGTCATTACATTACAAATATAAAAGGTAAAATTAGATAAAACTAAACTCATTAATTATTTCTCTGTTCTAGGCTTATTTCATTGCCCCCGATCCGGGCAAACTGCCCACCATCCCTGACAATGTAAGTTATAGCATCTCTGTCACAGAATGTATGGTAATAACTTGCCTTGGTGGCGATGAGCCGAGGTGGCGCAGTGGTTAAATGCAGCACTGCAGGCTACTTCAGCTGACTGCAGTTCTGCAGTTCGGCTGTTCAAATCTCACCGGCTC